ACAGAGGTAAGTGCATTATTTCAAACTTTGATTAGGGCTTTTTGTTACTGTTTAACAGTGCAGCGTAAGTATGCACAGATGAAGATGGAACTAAGTCAAGTAAGAAGACAAACTAAAGCACCTTCTGAAGGAAATGACAGTGTAGTCCTGCAAAACGTTTTGAGGTACATTGTTTTGTCTCAGCTATTTTGTAGCAGACTCATGCCCCCATTAGTGTGCCTCTTTGGGACATATTTGTAATATAGTCACCATAGAAAAATTAATTACCCTTTTTTATTTTTAGGGATTTTGTTATCTTTTTTTTTTTTTTTAATTGAACTGGTTTTGTATTTAAGTCCATATTGTGTTGGTACATCAGCAGAAACTTTTGCTTAAATACTTAATATTTGAGGCACATGTTGGACTACTTTGTTTTCATATAAACTGCTAGTATTTCTTTGTCAAGGATGTTTCTAGTTTTTTTGCTTTATTGCCTTGCATTCTAATGCAGTTTGTTCTGTAACTCGAGAGCCAGTAGCATTGGATTGATGGAAGTGTAGGGTTTATGAATTATTGCAGCTGACTACCATACCTCACACAGCGTTGGTGTTGTGAGCGGCCCATGAAAAGCCAAATTAAAAATCAAGGATTCAGTCAAACTAAGCAGGTACTCATGCCAGGTACTCCTTTCTCTACCCACATCCATGTTTGAATGCTGTTGCCTGTAATCTTTAAGCTTACTGTTGTGTTTTTGATTTTGAAGCTAGTGAAAAGGACTTTTTGTGTATTGTGTGAATACTGTAAATCTGATGTTAACAGAATGGAATTTTCTTTCAACTGTGTGTAGGGATGCAGTGCTGCCCAGAATTAGATATCTTTAAAGAGTTTAAAATGCAATAAACACTACATAATATTCGCCTTGTTACTTTCAATGCAATTCAAGTCCTTAAGAGGTATGTGCTTAATATTTCCTACTGTGTAGGAGACTGTGCAGTCAGCCATAGCACAGAAGAGTGGAATGGCTGGTAACAGGCTTGTAAGGCAGATATAAGTGCAGAGACAGATGCCACCAAATGATGGCAGTGTTGATGGCAGGAATGTATGCTGGAAACTATTTGTGGGAAATTAAGCAGCTAAGCAATAGGCAATTATGTATTGAAAGGGTAACTTGAAGTTTTTTCCCCACTCGTGACATAGCTTTCTTACAGAAGGTCTTTAGTTGTATTCCTGAAATCAGGAACTAACAGTGGAGGTGACAGCTGATAAATGAGCTTCTTGCAATATAATTTGTTACTGTAGTTGCATTATGTATGCTAGGAACTCTTAAACATTTAATGTTGATATTAAACCATTAATGCTACATCATTGCTTCTAATGCCAGTCATGTTCAATGGTGATGCTCTTGTAGAGTTAAGATGACAGCTAACAACTGGGCGAGTGTATAGGAATGGTAAACAAAATGCTCCTAATGCTGTCTAATGGTCTGTTCTCCCAAAATTTTGCATTATAGGACTACTGTGTGAAGAGTCTGCGAAGATAGTGGAAGACAGCTTAAACTGAAGATCTGCTATTAAATGAGGTGAAAGAAAGCTGTAGTGGCATAGAAAAATATAAAGTTGAGTTAGATTTTTTTTTTAATAAAATTTAATTCAGGACTGGTGTTTCCTCCCAGAGTTCAAAAAGATGTGTTGATAATAGCACATATGCTACTGAGAATATAAGTCCTGTATCCTTCTTTTTCTTTAAGACTTTTTAAGATAAGAAACCAACATAACCTGAACACATGGCTTGCTCAGTGTTTAATTGCAAGTTTTCATTCTTGGACTTTAAAACACAAGAATAAATGTTTAGTATTTGTGTGAATTGAACTAAAATGAATCCCATTTTTACAACTAAGCAATTCCTAGCTTCTTGATATATGAGAAATGGAAATAAAGTATCTTTGAATTTCTGTTACAAATTTGATTGTCTCTGTCATTGAACATTTAATATTAAATAAGCTTCTTTCCTAATAAATTTCTCGTGTCTTCAAGCTTAGTTCATTAATTTGGATGCTTAGTTATTCTGTGCTGTTTGTAGGTTTGGGTTTTTTTGGTTCTATCAGGATTTAATTTCAGGCTTACTTTTGCAGCAGTTAGCTGCTGTTGGGTTCACTGTCTTCCCCAAAAAGTGCCTTTTGCTGCAGTAGGTTAAGAAATGACAGAAATCTTGCAATAAAAATGGCAGTATTAATTCTTATTAAACAGGTCAACTTTGACAGCATGTTTAGAGAGATGCCAGTGCTGAGACTGGCATTCAGACTGCTTCACATTTGCATTGCAATATTGCTTTGGGGTATTGATGAACAGCCCTGTGCAGTTGGTCAGAACAGACACACGGGCAGGGAGATGTGCTTCCTGCTTCCCTGTGAAGCTGTAGTGCAAGCAAGAGTGGTTCTTGTTGGAAAAGAACTGCATTGTGTACGAGTCAGTGCTCTGGCTGTAAGGCAGTGAATTTACATTGTTTAATAAGAGCATTATCTTTTCCATTAGTATTCAGGCCTTGACTGTATGTGTAACCAAAGTCAGACATGGACAGAACACCATTGTAACTGATGCTGATTTATTTGGCCTGTGTGTGGAAGTGCACTTGGGAGGAATCTGCATCTACTCTGGTCACTAGTGCTAGTTTTGATACCACATGTAGACAGCCATGTTCCTTTTTGACTTTTATTGTTCTAAACCAGACACGGGCACAGGGGATGGAGATTGGGTGTGGTGGTTTTGGGAAAAAATAAGGTGGGAGCAAGTGAAATTATAACTAAATTCTAACTGGAGACATTAGATGAACACCTCCTCCTTTTGAAACTTGGGGGACAGGACTCAGCCTCTTTCAGCGGTGAAAATGTTTGTCTTGTACCTTCCACTGCACTTATTTGTTACAGGATTTGCATTTCCCCTTACTTTGCAAAAGAAAAAATGATAAAATGAGGTACCTAAAAATGATAAAATCCCTCATAGATTAGCCTGGGATTCAGATTCTCACATGTCTCATGGGGAGTCTTTTTAATGCTTTGAAGATGAAGGAAAATTCTGTTTTGCAGAGCATAGGAAACAGCACCTTTCTGCTTCCAGATTTGACTGTTCAGACATCTCCACAGAGATTCATCTTTGTGAGAAATATCTTCACAGCTTAAGCCCAGGATAAATACTATCCCAGATTTTTTAGGAATGCTAGGCAAAAGTAGCTGATTTCAGTAAGCACCTCTGACGTGCTTTCTCTATACTGGTTTTGACAGCCTGACAGTCTTTATTAGGTGTTAAAAGTGTACTGGCCTATGATTTTTCAAAGTTGCATTAAAATTTTAAGCGTCCTGTCCACTTTAGAGTTATCCTCCTCACATCCTTCTACTCCCTACCCTGAAAAAGGAAGAGATCAAAGTACTTAAAATTACTTATACTTTATTTTAAGTGAAGAGTAGCAATGTCAGTTCAGTACAAGTTTGTAGTGCAAACAAAAGGCATCCTTGGAAAAACAGTAAGCTTTGTAAATTTAATCTCAGTTATCATTCCAACAGTTCATTGTTTAAAGAAAAAGCCCAGCAAAAACCAGCTAACATAACTAGTGTGACCTAGAGTTTATCAAACTGCATAAAACATACAAAAATACTTCTGTGAATGCATAGATATAGTGTTATTACAGTCAGATTTATGAGTTTAACTCTTAACACATAACAGTTATTCTTGGTGGAAACTAGACAAATAAAGCTTTTTAAACCAGCTGCCCTCTAGCAGAATGCTCAGTAATTAGTGGAGACAGTCCTTACACTGACTTCCTAAATAAAGGAACTGGAAACAAATTAGATACTCTTACTAATTTTGAACCATTTAACCACTACTGTTTTTCACACAGTTATTGCACATAATCTAAGCTAGCCTCCAAGCTGGAGAGATAAATACACAATTGTTAAAATAGAACTTTCTTTCCTGTCTTACAAGAAAAACAAAGCAGGAACCTTAGTTAAGAAGTTTTACTTCATACTGTGTCAGAGTCTTGAGCTTCCCAGGAGTTGAATCTGGCATTAAACATAACTAGTTCTCTCAGCTCCTGGCTGGAGAAAAACCAGGATTGAGAATGGGAGGTTAGCAGAGTTGAGGTGATGGGTGTGGAACATGGAGGAAAGGATGATAATTATTTTGACTGAAATAAGCAAGAATTTTAAGCTTAAGTAACTTGGTGAAATCCTGAGCCCAGAGTCAAGTATCTCTGCTGGAAGAAGGAGTTTCTGTCTTCTCTGGGTGTGCAGCCGCTTGAGAGAGTCTTCCAGGCTAAAGCAAGACATGGGGAGGGTGGCAGCCATGCTACTTCTACTAGAACATGGTGCTGTACTATTTATAGTTTGACTGTCAACATTGCAGTTCAGATCAACAACACACACAGCATCCATCAGCTGTGCAGAAACTCTGCCTGAAGCTGCATAAAGCAGAAATGGAAGGAAAATCAATAGTTTGGGGTAGGGGGGAGCAGAGGGGAGAAAAAGCAGCTCATGCAGAAAAAGCAAATCCCTGAGCCCTCCACCCGCCTCAGGACCCATTTAAGGGTTTTGGTGCAAAGGTCAGCATTGTATTTTTTGGTAAAAAAGAAAACAGCCTCCAAAAGTGTTATTTTCCAGGCTGCCATGTTAATATAGGAAAGCTTCAGGCTGTTTAATACTCCAGCAATGCTGTGACTCAAGTATTTTAACCCACAGGTGAATTTTTTCATTACTTACTTGCTTAAATGCAAGTTAAACAGTCTGTAGCTTAACCAGAGTTATGTTTTTTTTCACTCCCCGCAAAAAACAGGGGGGAAAAAAAAGTTGAAAGCACCTGGAGACATTCAGCCCTTTCAGTACTCACCTGGCTAAAGCAAGGCTATGTACCAGTGACAGTAGACTGTGCAGGATGTAAAGTTACAAGTTAGTTACTTACTAGTGGTGTTTTTTCCCATCCAGTGGCTCATAAAAGCCTTCTATGTTCCTTCCACCTGTGATGTCTCAACCATCTCCCTTGGAACTGGTGTACAAGGGAGGGCCACACAGAGCTTTCCTGTCTGGACAATACTGACACCTGGTGTGAGTAATGCACAGGCTCACATCGGTAAGTAAATAAAACCACGGACACAGATTGGGGGTCCCTCCCCATCTGAAACAAAGGCTTTCTCTTGAAAGGACTCTCAATAGGAACATTTAAGAGAGGCTTTCATAATTTTTGGTGGAGGTACAATATTCTCACAGGGGAAATAAACATTTAAGTACAGATGTGCTTATTCCAGTTATTTTCAGCCCAGTAAAAGGATTTCTCCTGCCACTTCTCAGCATTAAGTATCTCTAGACAAACCATCCTGGTGAGTGTTTGTGAGGGGCAAGAGATTAAGGACTTGCACATTCACATTTTTAGAGAGCAACTATCCATTATGTATCTCTTTCATCTAATTTAATGTGGAAGTACACACAGAGACATACAATGTCCTGAATCTTTCTATGAGTCTTACTTGGTCAGAGTGGGTGTACTTAACAAAATTTTCATATCAATAATTTACATCTTTCGTGCCCTGCACTGCCAGATACAACCAATAAACTTCAAATACACTGGAAACCTGTGATTTTCCTGGACAAATGAGGTATCTCTTGCCTGAATACAGTATCAAGTAAAAAAATAAAAGCAAACAGGATATTAAATATAAAATATTAGTTAAAATAGTAACCCTAATAATAACTTAAGGTTTTACACAGACTTAAGTCACTGCCTTCCAAAGGGCAGCACATGTCACTGGCAGGTGTTCCCACTGCAGATGCAGCTGCCAGGGTCAGTAGGTCAGCTTGGATGCTCTGCTGTTGAAGCACGGCTGCTCCATCAGCGCAGCCGCAGCGTTCCGGAAAGGAGAGCTGTCACTTCTCGTCAGGACCAGCTCCAGCTCTTGGAAGTCCTGGAGTCTGGCAACATCCTTGTCCTTGTAAGGAACAGAGAGAACAACATTATTACTCCTATTATTACTAGCTGGTTGTTATTTATAAAATAACTATATTGAAGTGAAGGGAGAAGCAACCATCCTGGTGATGCATCGAACTCCGATTTATTGATCAATCAGCCACTTTATGTAACAGTGTTAATGAACTTCATGCATATTGCAAAATCCAAGCTCACGATAGGTTAACAGAGAAAACTCTAACCCCTCCTTTTGTTTTCAATACCTGTGGTTTGTTATTGAATCGAAGATTTATTTTCTCACCCTGTTACGAAAGTTCTTAAGGCCTCCATGTTATTGAAGACAGGTTTGAGAATTTAGCTGTTTACAGAAACAGGCTGTGAGAATTTGCTCCTCACAGCTGCCTTTTAAGCCATTTCTGAGCAAAATTCTCCAACATAACTATAATTCCAGGGACATCATTCCCAGTAACAGCAATATATAATTAAAAACTAAGAATTCCAGGGATATCATCCCCAATAATAGCAATAAAGAATTAAAAAAAAAATCCTACCAACATATACTCATTAGAAGTGTAGCAGGTTTGCTTGTTTGGTTTTTCTCCTCAAACTTTTTCTTCTCCTTTAATTTCATTACTGTATGTCACTTAACCAAGACTTGTGACCACTTTCATCTACAGACCTCTGAAATATACTTTTTTGGAACAGAAGAGCAGTTTCATTTGTTAACAGCATTATCTTTAAGTTGTTCATATGCCAATTTGTGGAGTTTTTCCCCCTACTGTTAATTCTTTTTAGGCAAGCAGACAGTGAAGTAGTACTTGGCAATTACGTCCTTTTAAAGCACCCTAAATGCACTGTTTCTGATACATTTTTTAAAAGTCAAGCTGTAATAGTTCCATATGCTTTAGGAGCTAAAATACTCTGCCTATTTTGACGAGACTATTTTTAAACAAGTTATGATGAAGTTTTAAGAAAGGTCCAGCATCCCTTTGAATCTGTCAGTTTTTATTCAACAAAAGTGACATTTTGCCAATCTTTTTGCAAAAATACATCCTCTGAGGTCTGCAAAGTGAAGAGTCAAGTTAATCTCTCATTTCTATTCTTACCTTTCTTAGAAGTGTATTGGGTAGTTTTCTGATCTTCTCTACTTCCTCTGGATTAACACCCAGTTCACAGCAGCTCACTCTGAGCAGATCTTGGTAGGTCAATTCTTGTCTGTCCAGTTCAATCTCAATGAAGTCATTGTCTCTCAGGTTCTGAACTCTGACCTTAAGTACAAGTTCTGACAGAGAAACAATTAAAAGGTTAACAACAGAAAAGACAACAAACTCAAAACTAACATTTACAGTATTTACTATTACCTTCTGAATTCATGCTTTAATAAAATCCCTATGATCTGAGAAATACTATGCAGTTAGCAGAAGCTTCCAGCAAAAATACACAGGAGAACGATGTTAACACTGTTGAAACCGATCCATTCAGTCACTAATTTGAGTTGTTACCAAACTACCGGAGCTGCATTTGATGCACATGTAGTGCAAAATTTACATGTTCATGTTACATGGACTGATCTTTCCATTGTTTTGCAAAGTATTACCATGGTTAAAATACAGTATAACAGACATTTTACATAACTGAGCAGAAGAAAGATCAGAGCACTTTTGGCCACAGAATTCAACATCTCTGCCTCTATTCTACTAGAGTCTGAAATGAAATGATTACTTAACTTCATTTTTCACCCAGTAACTGTAACAGAACTATGAGACCCAGCACCTCTTTACCTTGCATGTTATATGGGAATGTTCCAGTGAAGAAGAAGGGCTGGAAGGTGGGCGTGGGGCTGCTGGGGGAGGTGTGAGGCTGCAGAGGCAAGGCCTGGCGGGATACTCCTGGGGAGCAGCGCCCCAGGCTGGGGGTCGTGGCCGGGGGGCAGCCGGGGCCGTGGGGCACCCCTGGGCTGGCACACGCTGCGGCTGCAGGGACGGTGGGCACGGGGGGTGGCCGGGCTGCTGCATCCGCTGCTGGGGAAATCTCGCCGCTGCTGCACGACGTGGGTATGCAGATCCTCTCAGCCTGAGTTGTTGATGGACAAGGGCTACTTTCACTCTGGGAAGCAGAAGAGATGGAAGCACTTTCACTCTGGGATTCTGCCAAGCTGCCTGGAATGCTTTCTTCGGTGTAAATGTTAGGGAATGGGTTGGCCAAGTAGTTCGCAACAATGGATAAATTTAAATCCTTCACTCCTTGACATTCAGTGTGTTCCTCTATTGATGAAGTTCAAAAATGAGGGGTAAGGGATGGAGAGAGAAAAAAATCCATCATGTTACTGGATAGATATTTCTCATTTTGAATATAGTTAGTTTTCCTATGTCTTGAAACTATATCACATTCCACGGTCATCAAAGAATGACACTAATGTTCCAGAAGCATGTAACACTTGGAGGCCAGTAGCTGTAAAGTAAAAAAAACCTATAAATGTCTTCAGTATATTCTGTTTTTTGATAACAGAGTGGGGGGGAGTAACCTTTGAAAGACACATCATTTCTAGCAGTGTTGTTCCAGTGCTTTCAAATGAACTGGATGACCAGTACTCCTTTATTGAATCTAATTTTAAAATGCTCTTAATAGCACTGCTGTAAATAGATTATTATGACCTAGGCCAGCAAATTTTACCCAGTATTTCTTCAAGGAAGTGACTACTTGCTGTAATACCCAAACAAACTCAACTCTCGGATAGAAGCACTGCAGTAAGTGACATCCCTGCCTAAGGATTACAGAACATAAATAGTGATGTCAAAGCAGTTCAGAAAGATCTGCTAAATGATACCTCACTCCCAGAATAAAAACTAGCAGAAAAGGTAAGTGATATGTGTTTATTCCCCAGGAAACACATGAAAGCTTCACAGACAGAAAAATAAAACAACTATGAACAGAGTTCATCTACGTGTGCTTGACAGTTTCGATGTTAAAAACGGGTGAGTCGTTTGCCACAAACTAAGCCCACACTGCACCCAAAATAAAGCAAAGCATCATGTAAGAACATGCCATTCCTTCAGGCTTAACTGTTGGAACCTGAGTCATGATTTAGCTGCAACCTTGTGAAGGATAACCCTGCCCTGTTGTTGTAAGAGCAGATCACTGCAAAGAGCAATTTAAGTTCAATTGCAGAAGACAGCACATTTCCAAAGGTAAAGCACTTTAGAATTTTTATCTGGAGCACAGTATCTGGATGCTGTTCAGGAGTGTCACACACATCTAACTGGGTTTGCTGTGCATATGAAAAGTGTAAGATGGCAGAATTACAGAGCAAAAATTAACCATACCACCAAGTCACACTATAACAAATAGCTCAGAAGGCATAACTTCCTGAGTGATAAAACTGTTTTGAGGGGATTTGTAGTATTGATCATGGTCAGACCACAGCAAATTGTACAATTGTGAAAACCTCTATTGGCAGCTTAATAACAGCAAACAGGAGTGCAGTAGCACACTTCCCAAAGCATACAGCTCTTCCACTTCTTGGTGACAAAGCTCGGAAGACAAGGCCTTCCTACCTGAAATCTCCACATCTATTTGCCCAAATATGAATTCCAGTTATAAATCAGAGCTATCTAATGAGATACAATGGTCCTAGCCAAGGTTTTGCCAATTACTGCTTCAGATAAAAGCACTAAAAACGTTTTAGTGTTTACACCAAGAATTCTAGATGATTTTTAAAATGGGAACTGTACCTCCCAAAATCTTGCGGATGTCTGGTTTCGACGTTAGCTGTGCTGCCAGCTCTCCCTCAGCAGTGAGGATGTGCTTGTCTGCGCCAGCCTCCAGCAGGCAGGACACCACTTGGGCATGGTTCCGCTTACAGGCCCAGTGCAGGCAGGTCCTGCAGGAAGGAAGCAGAAGGGTTGGGATTCATCGGCCTGGCTCTGCCTCACCAACCCTGTCCTACCTCATCCAAGTTATGCATAAAGTGATAACCGGGAATAAAGTTTCCTTCATTGCGGCACTTTCTAAAATTCTGAATCTGTGAGTTACGCAGGGCAGGGCCCTCTTTTGCCTTGCAGAGTGACTCCCACTACTGTCCCACACAAGCGACTGGACGGGGACCTTGAGCAAACACGCAGTGACAGGTGAAAGGAGGGCGATCTGCTTTTATCGGGATCCTCTTTAGCAGTAAATCTCCAAGCCTCCCGAGATTAGCTTTTCTGTATTTACAAATGGGAAAACTAAGAAACACAGTAGCTGCGTTCCCAAAGCAGCTCCCTCCTCCCGCGCCTGATGATGGGCTGGGGGGGGAGCCCCAAGCCCAAGAACCCCGAACACCGCCACTGAGAAGGGCAGCGGGGGAAGAGCCGGGCCCCGCAGCGACCCCGGCCTGCCCCTCGTCCCCCGCAGCGCCGGACCCGGCGCGACGCCGCCGCCCCTCACCAGCCATTGATCTCGTTGCGGGAGTCGATGTCCGCCCCCGCGCCCAGCAGCCGCCGCACCTCCGCCACGTCCCCCAGGGCCGCCGCCTCTCGCAGCCGCTCTTCCAGCTCCCGCGCCTCCGCCGCTCCGCTCATGGCCGGGTCCGGCTGCGGCCCCTCCCCGCCGCCCTGGAACCCGTCGGGAGGGGCCGGGCGGCCTCAGCGCGGCGGAGCGGGGCCCTTCCCGCCCCGGGGCCCCGTTCCGGCCCTCACGGCTGCCGCCATCTTGAGACCGGGGCGGGCGCGAGCGCTGGGGTTGGCCGGGGCAGGGAACGGCCCTGTTCTGTTGTTCTCTGTCCGGTTCTGGGCTCCTCAACACAGGAAAGAACGGCCCTGTTCTGGTGTTCTCTGTCCGGTTCTGGGCTCCTCAGCACAGGAAAGAACGGCCCTGTTCTGGTGTTCTCTGTCCGGTTCTGGGCTCCTCAGCACAGGAAAGAACGGCCGTGTTCTGGTGTTCTCTGTCCGGTTCTGGGCTCCTCAGCACAGGAAAGAACGGCCCTGTTCTGGTGTTCTCTGTCCGGTTCTGGGCTGCTCAGCACAGGAAAGAACGGCCGTGTTCTGGTGTTCTCTGTCCGGTTCTGGGCTCCTCAGCACAGGCCATTTTTGCGGCCTTCCCTGGACCCTCTCTTTGCTGGAGAGGGTCCAGCAAAGGCCACAAAGATGATGAGGGGTCTGGAGCATCTCTCTGATGCACAGACATTGCGAGAGCTGGGCCTGTTTGGTCTGCAGAAGACTGAGAGGGGATCTCATCAATGCATTCAGATATATCCACGGAGTGTCAGAGGATGCTGTCAGACTCTTTTCCATTGGTGTCCAGCTCAACACTAGGAAGAACTCCTTTACATTAAGGGTGATAGAGCTCTGGAACAGCTGCCCAGAGAGGCTGTGTAGTCTCCTTCTCTGGAGGCATTCCAAACCCACCTGGACACATTCCTGTGTCACCTCCTCCAGACGAACCTGCCCTAGCAGGGTGTTGGACTGGATGATCTCCAGAGGTCCTTTCCAACCCCAATCATTCTGTGATTCTATGGGCCCTCCCACCTCAGGCACTGAGATGGGGGCCTGGACAGGGTGAAAATCCAAGACTGGAGTGTTTCCTCTGATGGGTTCATCCTACCCTCCCGTGACATCCTGAGCCATGTGTGGGGGCTTGAGGGGAGAGAGCGCTTAAGAAGAGGGAAAAAGCTGCAGGTAAAAACTGCCTGCAGGCAAAAGCACCTTATAGTATTATTTAGGTTGGAAAAGACCTCCAAGGTCTTTAAGTCCAACCTATCATCTATCACTGTGGCCTGTCATGGACATATTTTCTGAAAAATCCTTTTGCTAGGATTTTTCTCCTGACAAGATGAGAGGCCTCAGGAACGAAATGTAAACAATAATTATCTGCTGCTGTGGAATGCAACAGGGCATCTTTGATTGGATTCATGTGGTTGTTTTTAATTAATGGCCAATCACAGTCCAGCTGTCTTGGACTCTCTGGTCAGTCACAAGATTTTATTATCATTTCGTTGCTTTCTATTCCTTGTTAGCCTTCTGATGAAATCCTTTCTTCTTTTAGTATATTCTAATCTATAATTTTCTTTTAATGTAATATATATCATAAAATAATAAATCAGCCTTCTGAAACATGGAGTCAAGATCCTCATCTCTTCCCATGCTGGGGCTGCCTGCAAATTCAACGGTGGCCTTGCCCTTCTTGGGGTGTTTTTTAGCCAGCAGCTAAAAAACTCCTGCCTTCGAGGTGTGAGGCTGCCATGGGCTGGGAAAGGACCACAAGCATGGGTTCAAATCCACGGCTTTCCCCATACACTTCCAGCCCTGGCACCTCCAGTTCCCAGCCCTTCCCTCTCCAGTGTGTTGCTCACACTCTTAATTAAATCACTGTGGCATGTGTTGGGGAGCTCATTTAACTCCAGGCTTTCTGTTTTGGCATCAGTGTTTGCCACCAAAGAGCAATTTTCACTAAGATTTTTTTTTCCATTGCCTCTCTTTTATTGCTTACTTTTCTTATTAGTGACATTATTTTAACCTACCATTTAATTTAGGGCTTGAGTTGCTGTTGCTTTGCTCTGCTGTTCCTTCTCTGGTAGTTATGACCATTAGGTGAAGATGACACCTGCAGCATCGCCATCCAAATAGTTCCTGAATATCTCTCCATATAAATGAAGCTTCAAAGCACAAATACTCATCTTCCTTTTAATCAGTCAGGAGAGGCAGAGGCCCACAGGCCAAATGTTTCTCTAAGGGAGATGTGGCAGACTACCTGCAAACTACCCTCGTGAAAGCAGGAGCAAAAAGTAAGCAGTGACATTGTTAACTACTGTGGCAAAGGTTACACGTGGCTCAGTGGCAAGTTTTTCACACCAGATCACATGTTTTTGATCCCATGCAAGAGGTTGAACAAAAATTTTGCCCAGCTGCTACCAAAAGACTCAACAAACTGTATGGAAAACACTGGATTTGGAGAATGGTTTGCAAACAAGATTTACCTGATGACAAACGCAAATTCAAATCTTAGAGACCTGGAAGACCAGCCCTCAACTGGACACTGCTGTGGCCTGAATATTTGCATTTTAACTCATTTGCTTTTTCAGTGGAGGCATCTTAAATGATCACTTGTTAACCCATGATCTCTTTTGTAATTTTTCAGTGTCTGTGCCATAAAGCTGTAAAACAAAGACAAGCACACACAAGTGGAGACCTAGTGATACATTCTAGGAAGCACACTGTGAAAAGCTTTAAATCCCGATTGTTTTACATCTGTAAAAATCCCATAGGATTAGTGGCAAAAGAGCTTTTTCCAAAATAATACAAGACAACTCTCAGATGGATGGGGAAAGGCTACTCGGGAGGTGAGTGCAGGGACAAGCTTAAAACAAGGAACACCATTCCTGTTCTGTTCTCCAATGCCACTGCCACTAGATGTCACAGTGATACAGCAAGAAGATCCTGGAGTGTGGCTTTGTGCTTCTTGCTGTAATTGTGAAATGCCTTTAAATTTGTCTTGGCACATCCATAGTGTCTCCATACAGCTTTGATCCTGCAGATTTCAGAGCTCTCTGTGGTGCAAAGGGACATTATGCAACATTTCCACACAAGTGCAGGGATACCCAGTGCAGGGAGCTGCTTTCTGGGGAGTTACAGGCTTTTTTGTTTTTCTTTTCCTTTTTTCCCCCCCTCTACTTGAGCTCCTCTCCCAAAGCCACACAGGGCTTTTAAGGACTCTAAGCCGGCGGGTGAGGCACGGAGATGCTCTCTCTCACGCTCTCTTGGGGTGAGTATCCTACTCTGTTGCACCTGTGCCAAGCCTTGTTAAATGGAGCTTGGGTTCACCATTGCTTAGTTACACAATGTACTTCTCCCTGGAGTCATGAGATCTCCTCCCTCAAGGAAGGCTGTTTGCAAGAGGATTAGCAGTGAGTTCACTTGACTCAAAGCTCCCCACCGCCACCATGAACCTCCTGCTCATGCCCTACACATGGAGCCTCAGACCCCCTTGTACTCGTGTGTCCCCTCTCCATTTACTGGCACTGGTGTCACACCAGCTCTCAACAGAGCCAAGAACTTGTCCTTTTCCTGCTCCTTTCCCATGTGATAGCTGGGTTTGTGCATGCACCTATGCAAGGCATACATGCACACACACCTCCCTGCCAAGAGCAGCAGGGCCTGCAGGATCTGCAGGTGTGGGGCAGGTGCCAGCTGCGTGCTGATTGTCACCTGTTGGGAATTTAGCTGCTAGAGACTGGAAAAGTACAAAGCCGTGGCTAATTCCAAGTCCTGCACCTGTGAGATAGCGTGTCCTTGGGCCTAGCTGTAGTATAATAACAAATAGTGAAAGAGACATGAGAAAAGAGAGATGTAACCCCTAAGGAATGAGGAAGAGTTCATGGTATAGTTTAACCAGTAGATTGCTTGGCTTACAGAATATTCATAAGCTTATTATTTGCTGTATAAGTGTTTGATGCTTTCTTTAATAAACTGGACCTGTGATGAACCAGCTGGTGTCCTGGTCCCCTTCCTACGACAGTCACCTTTGGAAACTGCTGGGAATTGCACATGATGCTCATGGCTGGAGCAGCCGCTTTGCCTCCCAAATGTGAAATGACCTTGGCCTTCAGTGGGAACGTGCTGAGCTCTGAGCCTGTGCCTGGAGCCCAGCTCCGTGATGTTTTGTTTTCTTTGTGATTTACAGGTGCTCAGTGCTCCCTGTTCACCAGCCTTGGGCACAGCCCTGAGCCCGTGGCTTTACCCAGCAGAGCCAGCACCTCGCTATCACAGCCTTGCACTAACCACAGGGGATGCTTGGGCCAGTCTTTGTTCCCACAGCAAGTTTTCCAGATTTTGTGGGTTTTGTGTTAATATATGTCTTTATGCAAGCTTCTAACTGTGCCTGATCCTCTGGATTTGTTATTTTCTGGTTTTTTTGAGAAACCATGGTCTGTTTGCTGTTTGCTCCTGGGTTTCTTAAGGCTTATGAAGTTTTTTATTCCCTTTGCATTTCAGGTTTCATTCCCCTCCTAACTCCATTCCTCCCCATTGAACCAACTTCTCAGTCACTGAAAGTTATGATTAAACATATTTTTAAAGGCTTAATTCCCAGTAACACAGTAATACTGACAGCTGTACAATCATATTTAAAACACTCGGTCCCCACCCCACCAAAATAACATTTCTGGCAATTTAAACCAACACTGCCATTGTGGACACAACTGCAGTTGTGTGAGAAATATGATTTAGGTTCAGAAACTTTAGATATGATACTTAATGCACACACACATTTAAAGCTATTACCTGATTAAGGCTCAAGGAAATGGAAGGACTGGTGGAGAATAAAGATGGAATTAAAAGTCAAGCCAAATATTCACTTAAATTTAACCTAACTGTGCAGCTCACACTGGACCTTTCCATGAGTTTGAAGGAAGAGGAGACAGTTTCAAAGGAGGAAGTCAAAGTCACATGGGAGCAGCAGTTTATGCTATAGCAGTTTTTGTGCTCACTCCATGGAAGCCCCCTCTGAGTGTCTGCAGGTGAAATTAGGTTAAATTCAAACCCCCATGTTATCAAGTCTGAGCCTGTGTCACCCAACACTCACTTCATGTTGATGGGG